CCCGTAAGTAAGAGTAGAATTTAAACACTTTTTGCTTTTCAATCCTGGGTTTGATGAAATTTTAATGAAAAACCAGTTGGTAATAGATGCGAAACACAATTTTTAACAGATGTTGGATAACATTAGACTTTTTTTTTTCACCACTGCAAATTTCCTTCAGCGAGTAAAATTTATAAATGGTAAAAATGTTTTACATGTACACCTTAGTGTGAGCAGGAGTTCAAATAAACTAGTATACTTTTTATCTAGCAAAACACTTCAGCATAATGATTCATTTTATACGTTTGAATGCTTAAGAAAATTTGTATAGAAACTGGAGAGGTTGTGTTCGAACTACGAGAGGATTGGAACTTGGTACTGTTTCTAAGAAAGATGGTTATAATGGTATAAGAACAAGGAAAATCTTGTGGTGTCTTAATCTTGTCATAATTCTCCATGTGCATATAGCTTTAGTAGGCTGCTTTTCCTTTGATTTGAATTGTGAAACTATCAATTTCCATCTGGACTTGCCATTTTTGATGATCCAATATTACAATGCCTGGAACATTTTGCAGGATGATGATGATCAGGAGTCCGTTGCTATGCCGAATAAAGATGGAAAGGATTTTTTATGTTTCTTGCCTAAGGTGGAGAAAGTGAAGACCCTAAAGTCTGTTAATCAGCAGAACACTAGTAGCATGATTGTGGAGTCCGAAAAACGGGTTAAACTAAAGACGCCTGATGAACTGCTGGAAGTATACTGAAAGATCGATGCTTTATCAGAGTGAGAACATTGTTCCTACACACACTGTTTGTTTGGTGTCCCCTATATTGAATTGATAATTTAGCTATGTTTTGTGCAGCAAGAAGGTTGGTGGTCTTATGAATTTTGCTGTCAAAAGCAATTGCAACAAGTACATGTGGAAGATGATAAGGTAGATTTTTTTATTGAATTTAAGGTCCTCATATTTACGTTAGACTTGTGCTTTTTCACTAGAGTGAGAGTTCTTTCAGTGATGTATCCTTCAGTGATGTGGAATATCATTACTTGCTGAAATGAATTGCACAAAATATAACAAACATGCTCAATCAGCAGAACCTGTTATGGATACTCAACCTGTTATATACATTTTCTATGATTTTGGAATTATAGGTGGTTCAGGAATTTGTCTTGGGTGTATATGATGAAGAGGCCAGTGCTTCTTTCAACCAGAATCTCTCCGACGTCTCCACATTAAAAGATCCTCGTTCGAACGATGTGTCACAAAGGTGAGACTTTGCATGGTTTAAATTTAGGTTGCACCTAAACTTTGTCATCTTTATTATAATTACTCAAGTTTCACCTACAAAAAAAGTTCCAAGTAGTGTAAAGTACAAGATTATACTGAATTAAAAGAAGGAAAAGAAAGAAAAAGACTATATAACGATGCCATGTCTCATGCAGGTATCATGCTCATCAATAGACGAATGGAACCCTATGCGATCTTACTAATCAGCCCCGAGAAACCGAGGTATGACTATGAAGCAATGAAGTTACAGTACTATGATATGGTTTTTAGATCCGTTCTCATCTTTTTATGCTTTGTTATTTCTGTTTGTAGGTGAGATTCGTCTGCTCAGAGCCGAGAGCAATGATTAGTTCAATCACAGAGTTATCCACATGCAAATATGCACTTACTATTCAAAGCCCTATGCTATGCAAGCACCCGTAAGTCTCCCTCTCTGTGTGCTCCAAATCCTGTATTCAAAAACAGAGATAAACGCATGATTGATGCGAACTTAAGAAGTCATAATGGAAATTTAGGAGGTGTAAAATTATAAAATTTTAGGGGGTGCGAAATTTGATCATCAATAGAAAATACAAATAAAATACTAAACTATACGAAGATTTGAAATTTCCAGGAGATGCGATCCCCAGAACCCCCATCCATCCCTGTTTAGAACTATTGATGCTAGTTTCTTAGAGCCGATTGTGCCTGTTGGAAAAATCAAAGATATGGCAACATGAGAAAAAGGATTGTTGTATAATCTTCTTCTATTGTAGGTTATTCCTAGAGGAAAGACCTGTGTGGCACACCATTAACTGCAATGCCCTTCCAAAGGATTACAAGGATACCATTACCAAGGTTGAGGACACACAGATTAGTATGATCATGGACTCGGAAGATCAATCGAATAATTATGATTCAAGTGAATGAACGCCGTCGATCTTCATATATTTAAAGAGGTTAGCCTTGTCAAAGTACAATCATTGTATCAAATTAAAGGATTGCCAATACTCTATTTTCTCTTCTCTTCCTGTAACACATTCTTTGTATTTGTTCAGAATTTGCTCAGCTAATTGACAATGAATACATATAGTTTGTAGACGCAATTATTCAAACTTGAGACCTCTAGGGAGAGAACAACACTCTTTTATTATTGAAGTCGATTAATGGGTTCACTGGATATGAATCTTCTTGTGCACGAGAGTTTTCAATTTCGTTTTATCACAACTACACCGTCCAAAATAGGCAATAAGGATTAATTACATTTTCCAATAAGCTGAATTGAAGATGAAGTCACAAATCTAAATTCACTAAGATGATGTGTAGCTCTTCATATTTATATTCAAAACTAATATGCACAAAGGTTTCGTGTAGGATTTTAGGATTTTCCTCTAAAGTTCCATGTCCATGGAGTGTGAAGAGAGTTGAAGAAGGTAAAGGAAATTTTAGTGGAATTAGCTCTTCATACTGTGTCGTCGTACCAGAGTGATTGCAGGGGAGTTTCTAACGGTGATTGTGAATGATTTTATCTTCCACTTATGATTCTTCCGAACTGTAGGCTTCCTGACTAATTCTTGGATGATCAATTAATGAAATTTCAAATCATAATTGAAACATGTAGATATATGGATCACCACGAAAAATTCTATGTTTTACCCCCCATATATATATATATATATATGCTTGTGGCCTATAGCATCATTTGATAGTTTTGTACTATCGAGTTTTTTGCAAAGCTCATTTTATTATTTACTATTTTGGGTTGCAAAATATTGATCCTGGTGCAGTTATCGACATCATTAATGAGAGTTCATTCGACGTTGTTTATAGAGTAAGACTCGTGAGTAATTAGGGGGCATGTAGGTCATATTTTTTTTATATTAGAGTATGATTTTTTTATAATGTGTATCATTGAATCATGTTTTGATGTTTAAATGAATTTTAAACTTACATTTGTTATATATATAATTTTTTTATGATTTTAAATGGTTTGACAAATTTTATTTTTTTTAAAAATTTTATTGTGAGTCGTTTTGATGATCCAAAATGCGTCACTTAGATCGAACTAATTCATGTCGATATAGGGTGTTATAACGCAGACTGTTTGACGAACTATGTTCAGAACCAACACAAAACCATAGTGATTTTAAATGAATTTTCGCCCCTACTATATACGGATTCTAGTGGAGTAGTCAGTTTGAAGTTGTAGTTTATATATTTTCTTTTCCATAATTGTAAAAAGAAAACCTAAAAAATTCGAACATAAATTATAAAATAAATATAATATTTATAATTAATTAATCTCAAACAAATTGTAATATACTTGACCTGGTCAACTAAAACTTTGGAGACGCATAGTGTAAATGTATTAATTAGGATGGCTGATTCCATAACGCCAAAGTCAAGGTCTTTCTATAAAGAGCATACACACATCCACTGATCATGACAAAGGAAATTTCCACCTAAAGACTGTAAGGACGCGGAATTTTCTCACCCTAACAAAATAATAATAAGTGGAAAAATTTCTGATGTCAAATAACTTTGAGCGTGGACTCGTTTATATCACTAAACTTCTTATTTTACTATTTACAGAACTAAATTTTGATTTATATTTTAATTATGTCATTTCGTTATTAAATAACTAATGACATGGTAGCATGACTAACAGTGGATGACATGGCTATCACGCCAAAACGACATCATTTGATAAAATATTATGTTTAAGAGAATTTGAACCCTCGGACCTTTATACACAAACTTTAATATAACCACCATGTTAGTTGATAGGAAAAGTCCAATGACAAAAATGGTGGATGGGGGTCATTGATTCTATGATATTAAAGAGTGAAATTAGAAATTTTTGAAATTTTAATTTAAAACTCTATATAAATTATAAAGTTATAATTTAAAGTACTGATAAAATTTTAATAATCCTTAAAATATTACAATTTACTTTCATTTTCTCAAAAGAAAAATTCTTGACTTCGCCAATGCTCTTAGCTTTAAGGTTTATTGTTTAATATATTATAAAGTACACTTACTCCTTGTAGCTTGAAAATTAATCATTTATACCCCTAAGGTTTATTTATATTAAATTTATTTTTAATTTATTAATTTTTATTATATTCAATCATTTAATTGAGAATATGCAAATTATTCTATTATTATAATTATTATTAAATCAGGTTATAAGATACATTATATTCTATTATCAATATAAGGTAAACGTAATTTATTTTTTAAAATACCATGTTTGTTAAATATAAAGTATTCTAGTAAATAACTATACTAGTGACAGATTTAAAAATCTTTAAGATGAGTATATATATATTAATAATATAAATTTTAGTATGAAATAGACATATATAAAAATTTAAAATAAATATTATTATTAAAATAGGGGAAATTTAAATATGAAAAAAATATAATATTTTATATATTATGATAATATTTTATTCGAATTTAAATAGCTTTTTAGAACCATATATAAAACATACATATTTCTTTATATTTTTTTCATATGTGATATATATATATATTATACAGAGTCGAGGGGTTCATTTCAAACTTGAAAATGGATCATCTAATTATTAAAAATTTTGAGTTATTCAATTACAACTTGAAATCAATTCAAGTCGAAAAAATTAATTTTTTGAGTCGAATCGACTTTTGCTCACACCTGGACAGGGATTCCTATGTGTGTATAAAGGCCAAGGCTTTAGGCTTTGGTTCGTCCAAATACACGAAGGAAGCAAGTGAGAAGATGGAACCTAAACCATTGTGGATCCTGCTTACTGCACTAGTGTTTTTCAGTGGAGGGTGGTTTGGGACTGAGGGATGCTTGGAGCAGGAGAGAATCGCTCTCTTGCAACTCAAATCTAATTTCTTCAGTGATCCTTTCTCTTTGCTTGATTGGGTGGATGTGAAGGGATCGGATTGTTGCAGGTGGGAACGTGTTGAATGCAACATCACCAGTAGGCGAGTGATCGGACTTGATCTTAATTTTACACGTCAAGGGCAGGGAGATGTCCTATATGGGTATCACAATGTCGATGTCCCATATGGGTATCTCAATGTCTCTTTATTTCTTCCATTCCAGGAACTCAAGAGTCTTACTTTGTCCGGTAATCAAATTGGAGATTTTGTTGATAACCCAGGTCTGTTGCTTTTCATCTCTCTCGTCAATTCCTTTTCCTTTTGATTTTATAAATTAAGGAACTCATGAGTTAGAAGGGCTCTCTTATTTGCAGTATCTTTATCAGCTGCATTCAGCAAATTGGAAATCCTCGGCTTAAGGGGAGATAACTTCGATGGCAATATATTCTCCAGTTAGCTTTCATCTCTCAAGCCAGCTATAAAGTATGGATACGGATATAAATGCATAAAATATATAAAAATTTTAATCAAAATAAATACCCAAAATTTATTATGTTCATATTAGTAAACTTTAAGTAATATGTTATTTATACCACTGAACTTTAAGTAATATATCATTGAACTTTGATTTTCACTTCAATTATATCATTAAATTGTTAACGATTTTGTTATATGGTTGACGACTTTCATGAACGCCAACCGAAACGATATCGTTTAGATCATGTTGTTTTGATACCCAAAAGACCTAAAATGACATCGTTTTGCTGAATATTTTTTTTATGAAAATGTTCATTTATGAGACTTTGAACTCTACGCCTTCAAAATCAAAGGCTAGAGCTTAATCACTAAGCTAACTTAGACTTTTTGTTACGTTTTAATAAAAATAATATAGATATCATATACTTAAAATTATTTATAATCTACAAGAACCAACTTGCCTTATTAGTTAAAGGAATGATTTTTATCCTTAGAAGTGTCACCAAAAGGGTGTTTAAGCTTTCATTGTCAAATGGTTGAGAATCTTTAGAACATATCTTATCTTTGTAATTACTCTAGATTAATAAAAAAAATATTTATAATCTATGTTTCAAAATTAAAATATTATTTATAGTATAAGTATACTTATAAATAATATTAATATATACAAAAATATTATTTATATATTAATACAAAATACAAATATATTATAATTAATATTAATATATATAAATAATATATTTTATATACGATTTATAATAAAAACTAATTTCTTAGGAAAACCCTAAATTCCAAAAATTCATCCCTCCTTGATCCATCCCTGATGGTGAGGTATTATTTGGTTAAGTTATGGTAAATAACTTTCCTTTTCCTTCGTTTTATTTTTAATAGGATTTAAAAATGTTTCTGTCGGATAGGACTGAAGTATTTGAGAAATTTGAAGATCTTGGATTTAGGCGGCAATGGGATCAACAACCTTCTGTACATTCAATGTATATATAAATTTTATATTCTATATCCAATCAATTAGTTTGTCAAATAAATAAAAGTACGCATGATTCATCAAGTTCATTAGCAAATGATTTTGATGTGAGAAAGTTATAATAGTGAGTAGAGATAGACGCCTGATTTTATGTTAGTGTACGAGATAAAAGTAAATTTTTAATAGAAAACGCTAAAAAATTAAAATAAATGTTAAATTTGAAATTTTGAGGAGGTGATTGCCCAATTATCCCTTCTTGGTCCATCCCTGACGATGAGGTATTATTTGGTTACGTTAATGGTAAAGAGCTTTCCTTTTCCTTCGTTTTATTTTTAATAGGATTTAAAAATATTTCTGTTGGGTAGAACTGAAGTATTTGAGAAATTTAAAGATCTTGGATTTAAGCAGCAATGGAATTGGCAGCCTCCGGTACATTCAAGGTATATATAAATTTTATATTCTATATTCAATCAATTAATTTGTCAAGTAACTAAAAGTATGCATGATTCATCAAATTCATTACCAAATGGGCATGAAAGCCTTGTGACAAATAATTATTTTCTGGTATTATACAAACACATTCTCCGTGAAATCATATATCACATAAATTTTCTACTGGCGAGGAAGCACAACCAGTGATGAATTTGGAAGTGTTTGATTTGAGTATGAATTCCTTGAACAACGATGCTTTGGCACATCTTAACGGGCTTTCAGGGTTAAAGTCCTTAAGTATCAGAGAAAATAAATTGCATGGATCAATAGATATTAGAGGTATGTAAAATTTCACAGAACCAAAGAAATGTACCACATTATACATTATTTATATCCGAATATATTTTGTGATGATTACTTAAGTGGACTGACCAAAAGAGTATTTGATTGATTCGGATAGTACTCAATAATATGACAAAGCTGAAGAAGTTGGATTTGAGTAGCAATGAAATTGAGAGCCTCCAATCTTCCCATGGTATGTGATTGATATATTTTACTTTACAAAAATCTCATCAATGTTCCTTTTCTAATAAATCAACTTATCCAAATGCCTTTGTAGATGGTGAGACACAAGTGAAGTTGACCAGCTTAGAAGAACTTGATTTGAGTAACAACTTGTTCGATAACAACATATTGAAACAGATAAGTGGGCTTCCAAATCTCAAGTCTTTGAATCTAAAAATGAACCAGCTTAAAGGATCAATCGACATTAAAGGTAAAATTGTTTTCTTAAATGATCAAACTATTTTGTTATATTTTAACTCAAATTATAATTAGTAATTAAATTTTATTTTATTGTAATTCTAATGGTTGAAGATTACTTGATAATTAAGTTTATTTAATAAGTACATACTTATTTTAGATAAGAATTCCCATGGAATAATAATTATCGGTAAACAAGTATTTGACTCCATAAATAGAGAATTTATCTTAACTTTTAGAATTAAAGTAAGAGAAAATTATTTTGGAGAGATATGATCGCTTCTGTAGTCGTTGCAACTTTTGAGGTTTACGATGTAGAGATAAGTTTTGTAGGGATATTATGAGAGTGATTTGGGATACTCCGGGTTTTCGTATAGATATCATATTTTATGATACATGGGGATATCATGTATTTGTACCACTCGTGATCTCTACGTCAATAATGTATTATTGTTCTTCTTGCCCGTAGAGATAGGTAAAGTTGGACACGTTAGTTAAGTCTCACCTCTTACCTATGTCGTATTTTATGTTGATATCGTTTTAGTTAATTCTCAGCACCCAAATTTCTAACATATTTGTTGAGGCATTGCATTTAATATGTCTGGTTTAATTACATTCCATTTGTACACCTTCACAGATCTAATTGCTTTGAGCAACTTAGAGGAGCTAGATATGAGCGAAAACAAGCTGAAGTAATTTGTGCCCCTAAAGTATAAAGGTATGAATATATATATATATATATATATATACCGAAGGAGGAAGCCTTGATAATCTACTGTTTGCCATTAGATCTGTTATCATTAGTTTTATTCTCACAGAAATCGGAAGTTTGGGAAAGCTAAAAGTTGTTCATTTAGACAATGTGTTCATCGATGGACCTGCTTCGCTACAGCAACTTATGGGGATATTCTCATCTGCTAAGACCCTATTTTTAAGAGGCAATTATTTTAACGAGACTGCTTTTAGTCAAGGTATGTGATAGTTTAGTACTTGGATATATATTCCATTTAAAATATCATTTGCTTAACATGGATCAAATTACTCGTATATTTTTTAAAGATCAATTTCATGTGGCAAGCAAAGTAGAGGAATTATTGCTAGATCATTCATATCTCGACAAAAACTTTCTTCCAAGCATTGGTCTGTAATCACCATTTTTACCTCTCCATTCCAGCAACTCCACGTTGCAGCTACAAACAGCCTCCAGCAAGCCGGGACAGCAGCCCATCCATGCAGCAATTTCCAGCAGCCGCAGCAGCCCCTCCACGCAGCATTTCCAGTAGCTTCCAGTGACAGCTGCCCCTCCACGTTGAAGCTATAGGGTGAGTCACCACCATAGTTTGGTGACTCACCGAACTCCCCCTTATTACCCGGTCCATGGAAAGCTTTGTGGTGGCTATAAAAGCCACCACCGAGCATGCAAAAAAAGAAGAGGGGAATGAACGGAGCGAGCAAGAAAAGAAAAAAGGAGAGCAATCAAACAGAAAAAAAAAAAAATAGAGTGAAGATACCGAGCAACTTACCTTCGTCGGAGCATCCAAATCACCGGAAAACCACCAAAAAAACCGAAGGTAAAGATTTAGATCTACGGAGTTTGGGGTTTTTTTTAGAACAAGAGGAAGCCGGAATCGGATTTAGAAATAAAAGAGGATTTTTTGGGTAATTTTGTAAAATTCCGGCCACCGTGAACGGTGGCCGGCGACGATGACCGGCCGGTCACCGGTATTCTTCCGGTGAGGGAGCTCTAGAGAGAAGCTAGAGCTTCTCTCTCTAAGAGAGAGAAGCAAATGGAGAGAAATGATAATTTAGGCCAATTTTGGCCTATTTATACCCTTACCAAAACGACGTAGTTTTGGTGAGGGCCTCTGTGTAATTTCCCGCATGGGAAAACCATACGCATTATCCTCCTGATTTGATAGACTTATATTTTAGTCACTAAATTAAGTTTTCGAGCATTTTAATTTTGTTCCTGAATTTTATTTTATTATATTTTAGTCCTTTCCCGTAATTATGTAATTTAGGGTAAATAATATATTTAGACCCTGTAACTTTATTAATTTTTAATTCAATCCCGAATAATTAATATAAGATAAATCATACTGTTAATACTTAGTTTTTATAATATTTTAAATTAGAGCTTTTAATTTTAATATGTTATAATTAGTCCTTAATTTAATACTTTCATTTATTTTACAAGTTTTATTACCGTTTATATTTTAATAATATAATTGTATTTTAGTCGTTATTTATTTTTATATGTTTGTATATTTAATTATTATTATGTATCATATAAATATATATAATAAATAATATCTATTTGCTTATTTTTATATTTTATATTAAATAAAAATCATATTTAAAATTTTAAATTACTTTTAAGAAAAATAATCATATTTTAATATTTTTTTTATATCAAGAAATGGGCTGTCTTAAAGCACCTAGAAGTCCTTTTCTGATATTCTTAAATAAATAAATATCATATTTTTATAAATTATATATAAAATATATATTAATTTATTTAATTATTTTTAGAAAGATGTTTTTTAATATTTATTTATTTTTTAATATTAAGAAAAGAGCTGTCTTAAAGCACCTAGAAGTCCTTTTCTGATATTTCTAAATAAATAAATATTTTATTTATAAATATATTTAAATTAATATATTTCTTCATAATCATAATTTTGAAATAATAGGATTATAAATTAAATATATTTTGAATTTTTAAATTTCTAATAATAGAGACAATTTATAATTAAAAAGTACCAATTTTGGGCGTTGTAGGGGTGCTAATCCTTCCCTAAACGTAACCGACCACGAATCCCTTTTTATTATTAAAAAGAACGAATTTTTGGTTAAAACGCAGATCAATTTATCTTTTAACTGATGTTTTCTTAAAAACTCTTTTAAAAGATAATTTTTTTAGGTATTCGACCTACCTGATCCAAAAGGCCGATGGCGACTCCCAAATTATTTTCAAAACCATTTATTCACATCAATTTTCTCGCCAAATAAATATTTCGTGCCCGGACGAAAACCGGTTACGACAGCTTGGCGACTCCGCTGGGGAACTTAGTCAAACTTTAAAATCAATCGTAAATTGTCTCTATCAGTTAGAAATTAAAAATTCATATATTTAATTTTTAATTCTTTCCTTTCAAATTTTTTATTACTTATTATTATTTTATATATTATTATTACTTATTATTTTTTATATATATATATTATTATTTTTTATTTTATTTATTTATTATATTCAAGAATTAATTATTTTATTTGTTTGTTAGAGGTTTTAACATTTCTCCTCACACACAACACTTGCATAACATAAAGCTCTATAATTGAGTTTGTCCCTTTTAAGTGGGAGTGAAAGCGACGTCTTCGTGAGAATTTATTCTCCGTGTCAGACCTAGCAAGTAACTTTTGGGGTTCATATGCTCTATGTCTTCGTGAGAATTTATTCTCCGTGTTAGTCATAGAGAAATGTATCCCCTCGAATTGAACTCGATCCGTTTAAGTCTGTAATGGACTATGATCGAGGGTTTGATAGCCCAAGGGGGCATCAACAAGGACAGTTCGAGTACCTATACTCCTAGAACTGAAAACCTGCATATAATAAACCCTAGAAACTCTCCCCGATCTGAAACCATGCCGAAATTTTGTCAGTAGGTATACACAAAGGAGAAATAAACTCTAGCTTTTAATTTATTTCTTTTTCCTGAATAAATGCATGCGAACTAGAAATCATGCAGTTAGGTTAAATTTTCCAAACAAAGCATGGAACTAGAAAGCATGAGGTTAAGATTTATACATTGATATATAGTTTTTTTTAGTTGGTACTAACTATTCTATTTTTTTTTATTTTTTTTCATGTATATTACATTGCTCTAATATGTTCATATTGATTTCTTTTGTTTGCATTACATGATCATGGCATAACCAAAAGGTGTTGGCTTGAAAGACTGTTCATCATATTGGAAAGAAATCGTAAATGGACAAAAAAGTTTTATGATCAAACAAAATATGATGCGGCCAAGGAAAGACATCCTGAAGAAACTACGAGGATCGAGGGAAGTTCTGCACACAGAGAATCGGTTATATTAATACCAAAAGTAATCCATAAAGATTCTGCCAGATTGATACCAAAAGCAGTCTATGGTAAGAGTATCAGTCGGGACATTCAGAGTAATGGAGATTTTTATGAAGCTCAAGCATGTTATTTGAAGGACTTGAACGACCAAAATGAGAAATTGAGCACAGAAATGAAAACCATGCATGAAGATTTTCAGAAGATCAGTCAAACCTTTCAAAATGCTGGCCTAGGAAGTACCCCAGAAGAATGGATAACAGGGGTCACCAAGCTGAAAAAGAACTGCAACATATATGAAGATCTTATTCAAGAACTCCTTGGACAGAAAAGATCTCTTACAAGGGAAAATGAGCAACTCCGAGAAGTGACAGAAAATAAAAGAGAATGTCATGGAAGATGTTGCAGTCCAGACAAGCAATATGTCCCTTAAGTTGATAGACTAATTTGGCTTTGGATAAGTTAGGAATGAAATATATCCCTACATGTAAAGTTTTGTTTGATGTACCGAAACTTTTGCGTTCAATGAAATCTGTTCTAAGATGATCACTCTTGAGTAACACCTTTTCATACATGCATTTGTATTTTGCATTTGTACATTTTTACGTTTGTATTTACATTTACATTTTTAAATTTACATCATGCATTAAAACATATTTAATTAAATAATAATGTTTATTTATTTTCAATATCAAAGAAAAGGGCAGTCTTAATATAACTGGATGTCCTATTCTGGTATTTTAAATAATTTACATTTACATTTTTACATTTGCATATTTACATTTGGCATCTTTGCATTTGTATTGCACAATTTGTATTCTTGTTATTACATTCACATATTTACATTTACATTTGGCATCTTTGCATTTTTATGTCATAATACATTAAAACATTCATTTCATTAAAATAAGGATTTTAAACGAAGTGATCTTGGTTTTTCCTTGAAGCAAGAACGCTCAGCACGACACAAGAAAAATGTCTAAAGAAACTGAGGATATTCTATCCAAATTAAAGATAGAGCAAAAAAGAGATACAGGAAGAATTGAGGAGCAAGTACGCACAAATCGAAGCTAATTCTCAGATCGATCTACTGAACAATATGAAAGAAATGATTGAGAAGCATTTGACTGCTAGAAAGAATCTTGTTGAAAACTCCACAAATCCTCTGGGTATTACGCCTGCTCATATTCCTGAGCACACCTCTGTACGTCAGGAAATCCAATCACCAGTTCACTTCACTGTTAAGAAACAACGATATCAGGCTGGAGTTTCATTCCCTACTGACTGTCTTACTGCTTCTGGGTTAAAGCCAAATGAATTCTGTACTACTTCTAGAGAGACGGTTGAGTCATTTTATGAGTTTGACGCCAAAGAACTGAACTTGGTCCCCGACTTAATTCTCCCACCAAATTTTAAAATTCCAGATTTTGAGAAGTATAATGGGACCACATATCCTGAATATCATATCACTATGTACTGTCGTTGTATGACTGGCTATATAGAGAATGAAAAATTGTTGATCCACTGTTTCCAAGACAGTTTATCCGGGTCTGCATCCAAATGGTATAATCAGCTAAAACGTACTCAAATACGTTCTTGGAGGGATTTAGCTCAAGCTTTTTTGGGTCAATACAAGCACATGACTGATATGGCCCCTGATCGAACAATGTTGTAAAGCATGAATATGAAGTGTAATGAAAGCTTTCGACAATATTCACAATGATGGAAAGACGTTGCTTCTCAAGTACATCCACCATTGACTGAAAAAGAGTTCACTACTTTGTTCATCAGCACATTAAAATTTCCTTATGTTAATCACATGATAGGGGTTGTCCCTAATAATTTCTCTGACATCATCATAATTGGAGAAATCATCAAAATGGCTATCAAGAATGGCAAAATAAGAGGCTCTGACAATACTAAAGTCAAGAAAGAAGCTGGGGTTAATACAGTGAAGTCTTATTCAGTTAAACATGGTGCCAAATCTTATAGAGTGATCAAGAAAAGAAAAGGAATGTGCAGGGATTTCAATTTCCTCCCTTCCACTGTTCGAGTGAAAAATTGCATCAAAAAATGCTCTCAGCCAGATCAATTACTCTACAACTTGATCAATCACAATGGCCTCCAAATGAGAATTGGACCTATAAGGAAGTTCATTGGATAAATCAGACTAGAATTCCAAATTGTTCAGCTAAGGTTCCTGGTAACCTTAAGGGAAATTTCCAAGACCCTTTAGAGCAAGCAATTCAAAAATGCAAGATAAAAGAAGGGGTTAAGGTTCAATGTTCAGAAACCATTGTTGCAACAGAGACTAATGTGACCAAATCCTGCAAAGAAAATGGGAAAAGAAATCAAAAGGCTCCCATGGATGTAATTCGAGATTGGCCCATAGGTCTAAGAAGGAATGAGGCAGATATAACCCAGAAGACACCTCAGATACATGTATCAGATTTTCCGAAACCCAGTAAGGCAAAGGACAACTTAAGAAATCTGGTTAATATTACCCCAGTTATAGCTAAAATGAGCATTCAGAACCCCCTCGATAACATGAGAGCATTCATTCGGTCAGAATGATCAAAGAAAGTGATAGCCTCGCGAGTAAGAAAAACTCTGAAGGTGTTTCAAGAATCTATCTCAGACCTGTACCCTCATTTGGTTAAAGGTCACTACATTACACCAAGATTGGTGAAGGTGTCACCAAAGCCTTATGCCCATTGCTATGATCAAAATAGCTTCTGTAATTTTCACTTGGGAGTATCTGGACATTCAACATGGAATTGTTGGTCACTGTTAAAGGAAATAGAGACGCTCGTTGACAAGGGAGTCTTGACACAAGAAACGATCAAGAAATGGGGGGCAAATAAAGATAAAAATCCTGGGCTAAGTACACACCCAACATTAGAGGAGTAATGATGCATAAACAAGTGGAAGTGTTATCTACCACTGTAGTACTTTCTATTTTCAGCATCTTGTTTGAATATGTTTTTTGTTCCTTTCTCCGCCTTTTGTGTAATAAATAAATATGTGTTTCTTTTATGGTTATGAGCAAGGAGTCAAATTTTAATCTTGAGATTATTGAGTATCAAGTAGATTAAATATTCTTTTAATTTTTCAAGAGTTATAGATCTATTGGCAAGTGGTAAAATTATATCTTCAATATCACATCCAATGCCAATTACTCAAACCAAATCCTGACACTACAAAGATTCTGAAGAAATGTCTCCACCTGTTTTTACACCTACTCCAGATGTTTACCTTTTCGGGTATAGTTGATTGATGATACTACATTCCACCATATACATGACTTCAAAAGTCACACATTTGTCTTTTCGAACACAAAACCATCATAAACCAAAAGACCTCAAAAGAACCAAACTTTCAATTATCCGTGAATTTTACTGCAAGAAGAGACTAGATGAGGCATCATGGACCAACTCATTGATGATAATTTCGAGTGATTAGGGCATACTCAAAGAAGAAGGGGAAAGTGATTGATTGAAATAAATATATCATGCATTAATTACATTTTTTCATGTAAATAAAGTTAATCTTGAATATTCATCCCCCTGTGGATACCTCTTTTTACAAAGGTTTCTGTGTATGAGATGATGAACGACATTGTTTCATTTATCCTTTAATATATATATATATATATATCCTTTGTTGTCCCCATTTGAGCCTGAATAATGTTTCTTCTAATTCAACCCTAACCAAGGATCACCCTCTACATTAGGGGGCAAGGTAAAGGATATTGGCTCACAAGAATAAAGATTGTCAATACAGTTTTATTACGAAGACAAGTTTCCATGAAGTCATGAAAGTTTTGAACTACAAAGTATGTCAAATACAGAGTGCTTGAAGATCAATCCAATCAAGAATAATGGAAAACCTCCAAAATGCAAAAGGAAAAAGAGGTGCTCAAAGCAATTGAAGTATTATACTCATCCAGCAAAGAAAGAAGAAGAAGAAAAAGAAAAAAAAAAAGAAAAAGGAAAATCGAATAAAGATGGGTGATTTATTGAGCCTCAAGTTACAAGGTTGATCAAGTACAAACAAGAAGAGCAAGAAATGCTGGAGATATGAGAAAATGGAAATGAATCCAAAATTTGGCACTCTAGAGGGATCCAGTTGATGGAAAATTCCTCAGCAAGGCAGATCCAAGTCAAACAAAACAAGATTGACGGCATCAGAATGAATTGATCCTTGGTTTGATGACCCTTAAACACTTATTTGGGCCTTTTTATCCCTTTCTTTCGTAACCATAAGCCATGGCCTACGTTACGTACCTGAAAAGTCCATTCTAATCATACATGGGTTTCTAAGTAAAAGATGATATCTTTAGAATTCATTCCGCCTTCCAAGATTGATTTTTATTTGCAAAATTAGTTTTTAAAATCTTTAATGCATGATATGAAAAATGATAAAGGTGAGTTCAAGATATAAATTTTTAAATAACATCTTGAAACCAAAGGAGGATTCGAGTTGAAAACCTGAAAAGCGGCTCGAATATTGAATGGTGCAACAACGACATAAGAGACGATCTTAAGCTCTTAATAAAGCACCACATCTCAAAAACGTTCCTGAGATTCTGGAAACGAGAAGCATCTCTACAAGATGAGCATAACAACCATTTCTTCAAGTTAGTGGAAGCCCAAAGCGACATACTGAACCAACTTGAAAGAACCTACTTTACCAAAATCAACCTACACCTCAAATCAGTCAATAATTTTGACACTTGCCATAGGACTATGATTTTTGAATGATTTAAAAGTGTAGTTGATTTATTTGATATTCATTAAACTCCTTGTTTATGATTCGATTATATTGTGAACCTGAAAGGGGTAATACTTTGCAAAATTCTTTCATTCTTCAATAAAGAAAGGAGAAAAAACATTTTCAAACAGTACAATCTCAAATGAGGAAGGTCCTTAAAGCAATTATTGCTTATTCTACCTTTGTTGTAGAAAAAGAATGAACGAAGCCAGAATAATGAAGCACTTCACATTTTTGAAGGCAAGTGGTCCAAGAAGCCAGAAAGTCTGGAGAATTGAACTTGTAACACTCTCCTATGACATTATTAGCAGCTCATCAAGAAAGATCGTTTATCTCATACTGAGGGCAATAAGGATCACCAGACAGATTATTTTCTCCAACCATCAATTCATGTTCTCTAGAAGATTACATTATAGAACCATGAGCAAGTCACTACCTGCACTCTGGTTATACCGTGATGCTGGCTCAAGTCTTGATACATCATTGCTACTTCTTCTATGCCGATCACTTTCTTTGTCAAGATGATACCCATTATGTCCTTCAGAAGATTGTTGAATTTGAATTTGAGGACTTAGGGCACAGAATAAGATATTGGAACAGATTCTACACTTGTATGCTGTACAGGATTCCAAAGTTGAGATAACCAGTTTTACCATCAACTAAACCTTTCCATAGTTAAGGAAGAGTGAGATATGGCAGTGTGTATTTTGGAGCAGCAGAAGAGACAGTTGTCGTAGCAGTCATTACAAGAAAATGCACCAACAAAAATCTTCTAGTTAATCATGATGATGTTTATGCTTCCGGTAAGATTGTTACACAGGATGCTACCGACAACAAGGTCGAATCCGCCAAATCTATTCATCAATTGCTCCAACCGATCACCATTCAGTTCTTGCACCTCTGTTTTCAAAGATATACTAAGACAGTAGAAGGCGATCTTTGCAGCACTGATTCCAGCAAAAAGAAACAAGACATTGATATCACTGGGAAACATGTCTCTAAACAGATCCTTATGTATGGTTTTTAAGGAAACCTAGAAGTATTTCCACCTCATCAGGTTCAAGTGGAGCAACTTTATTCCTTCCAACCCATACTAGATTCCATTTTCAGCACTCATTAAGAACATACTTCTGGACACTCTAAGGTGGCTCATTGTCATAAGCTTCAAGAACCTTACAGATCCTTTCTGTTAATTTGGCACTTCCTGTACGTTTATAAACAGTTCAACTTTGTTTTTGGATTCCAAGAAGGCCATCATTTCTTTGTCAATGGAAAGCATCAGCACATGGAGGAAGCAGAATAAGAGAAACTCTGTTCTTAATTGGCAGATTATGAATATAGCCTATTTTCAGTGTGACAGCATGAAAATGCTTCGAATCTACAAATTCTGGCTTTACATCGAATAAGTACTGTGATATTCCAGTCCAAACTTAAATGGAACAAATGAATGTGCTCATAGCATCTTCTGGAAGTGTTCTTTGAGTTATCTGATCTGGTTTGGCAAAACCAATCATTGAATTTGGAAGATGAATGTGCTCATAGCATCTTC